TTTTTTTTGAGAGAAGAACTCATTTTTCTTGCTGGATATTTCTGGACTACTGGAGCTATCTGTTGCACAACTGCTCTCTGCCATGCTCTCATACTTCTTGGTGCGAGAAATTTGGGGTAAGAAGACAAAGAAAATTATCAATAATTTTAGGTTGGGAAATTTTTTTGCATGAATTTAATTTCCTACTATATTATGTGCGTCAAAATGTGGTAAAAACAAAGGAGTGGTACATGAGCCACAGGCGAGTGTGTCACTGGCGTTTTAAACGCATTTTGAAGTCTTCTGTGATCTATTACCAAACAGACCCACAACAACAAGGGATCTATTTGTTTTATATAATGATCAGAAAAGAAAAAAGACCGATACACATACCTGCCTCGTATCACTTGACTGTTTGGAAATTTTTTCTAGTTTAGGCAGGTCCCAATTCAAGCACTACTTTTCATCTCGGCTTCCTTTTTTCTTTGTCTTACTTGTATACGCTTTCTTTGACACATTTTTAAACATCTTTTCTTGCTCGAAGTAGAATATTAGATTCCATATCTTTAGTTCACTCTCAGGGACACTAGTATCTTTATGTCTGTGTTGTTACTGAATCACTGTGTTTATTTTGTTCTGTTGCTGTTTTGGTGTGAAGGACAGGAGTCTTTGCAATGGTTCCCAGGTTATTTGGTTTAATTGTGCTGTATAAATTTTTGGCACAAGGGGCAGTATTGGATTTCTCAGAGGCAAGTGAGGTGAAATGAGTGTGAGCATCCTTCGGAGAATCCTTTTAGTATCATTTGTGACTGTACACCCCAGAATGTCACATATCCTGTCTGGATCAGGCTAATTGTCTCATAGTAGTATCCTAAATTGACTGGGTCTGGTCCGAAGATGCTAGGCAAAACGGCCCACAGGTTTTTTCCCCCTGCACTGAATTCCCCCCTTCCCTGGATTCTGGGTTATTTTTATTAATTAAATAATGAGGCTGTACACTTAATTGTCCTTAGATATTTCAGCTGGTTCTGAGTGAGAATGAAGCTAGCAATAGAATTAAGATTTAAACGAATGCTGTGATGCTTTTGATTGAAACGAGGCTTTTGTCTTCATCTGTGTGGTTGTGTCCCTGTCACTATCATTTCTTCGATTGGACAATGCTAAGGGTATTTTGCTCAGAGTACTCATCAAACATAACTATGAAGAAACGAAGCATAATATATATAGCTCAGGATTATTAGTCCCAGTAAAGTACCCATTGCTATCCACACAAGAAGATTCTTGTCATCATAGTGACGCTAGAAACACATGAACATAGTCTATATTCTAATCATTGCATTGAAATATTCTAAGATGTTGTTGAGGTCGAAAGATGTGTTGTAAATTGTCAGAACAAGTGGTATGTAGGTCTCTAGCAAGTTTAGCAGTGTCATGAATTCGATATAATGACTTAAGATTTGGTACTTCTTTGGAAGGTGCTTCATTTGATGATTGTCTATGGCACCATCTTTGCCACCGCCATGGACTTCCTGTTGGTGATCATTGTTGATTATCTTTAATAGCTGTTTTTCTGCATGTTCTACTTGCAAAGATGTAGGAGCATAATATGCTTCCATCATTATTTATTTGAACTTACCTTGACCTTTTTTATAACTAATATAAGCTGAATTATGGTAACCGTAAATTCCTGGGTTATAAACCGATCAATTTGTGAACAAATTTAATTCTATTCCAGTTAAAATGTAAACCCTCCTGCTTGTACATTCCTTGGTTATAGCCCCATCTGTTTGTATATCTATATAAATCTTGTTTTTTTGTATGTTCCAGCTAGAATAATTTATCATAGCAGGATGTGAATTTCTCCTTGAAGTGAAATGAAGTGCATGTCATCATTTAATAGCTTGTCTCGAGATGGTTTTTTTTTTTAATTATTATTATTACTCCAACTTATTATTCTGCTTATCACCTCCCCCAAATATAAGCCCAACCAAAAAGCCTTACGAAATTGTACAAGCCTTGGACTTTTAACCAGGATTTAATGGTATTGTATTGTCTCCATCATTTAAATTGAAAGTATTTGTTACAGACAAGATAACTTCCACTGGTAGAATAAAACCAATGGGTATATTATAAAATTTAGATCAGTATTGTTTTGGTATTTTACCCCTTTTAAAGAGTAAAGTTATTAAAGAGTTTGTTGGTGTCAATCTTGTACACAACAGTTACAGAATTCTGTTGTATATGTATAGGCACAATATTGATGTAATTGCTTAGTTTTCTTGACCTCAAGAAAATATTAGTTAAGAACCATTCCTAATTTACACTTTCAAAGGTGTACTTTTTTTTCAAGATAAAATACAAGGTGTTTGGAAAGCTACAAATAAAAGATACATTGTGTCTTTGGCTTCTCTTAGTCACAGTATTTGAAAACTCGTCTCGCAGTACAAATCAAACTTCTATTTCAGTTATTTCATGGCAAAATGCCTTCATCATCACCAGAGGCCCATTTCTTGAAAGTCCAGGTAACTTTCTGGGTCCAAAGACATATTGTCTAAAAGTCAAAACCTAACTATGATAATTTTTTTATTGACTATTTAACTGTGGATCTTGAATGTAAACATACTGACCATCCCTCGGGCTGAGATGAAAAACTGGTCATTTTGCCACTATATGTGAGCTGATGTAATATGTCACATTTACCAACATAAAATAGAAATATGCTTTCACTGGGCAGGGCTGTCAGTCGGATGCCAGTAGTTTAAAGTCTGGTGCAAGCCAAATCAAGCTTAATTGACAGCTGTCAAAATGGAACATTTGCAGACTACTATCCCAAAACTAATAACCTGGGCTCAGGTTCAAGACCTATTTTTGTACATGGATGGCTTCGTTCATTCAAGTTATCACTGTAAGTACTGCACTCAAATTTTATAGTCTTGTACCCTAACCTCTTGGTTTATGTTGGGTGTCTTTTTCGGTTTTGTTTCCTTCGTAGTCATCTTTCAGTTTCTATGGGTTTTTCTTGTAGAAACTGTAAATGAGTGAAATCTGAACTTTATCCCGCCCGCTACTATTGTCGTTAAGTGTTCTGTTTGCCGACACATAAAAAGTTCACAGCTCTAGCAGCCTGTTGTTCAGGATTATAGTGTTGGAGGCTTTCAATTACTTTACTCTTGATCGGTGTTTTTTATTTCCTCCGCTTTGCCTTTACAAAGAGCTAAAACTAATCCACATGCTTTGATGCAAAACTTCAGACATTCGAGTCTGAATAGCTATTATGTGTATAATAATTAGTTAGCGCTTTCTCTGCAGTGAGTTAATTTTGGTTAATTGTTTGGTATTGGTGTAAGTTTACACTTTTCAGTAATTATTGTTCAATATTTCAAAGTATAGGAGATGTTGCTTTAGTTAAATTTACGAGTTTTGGCGTCAAAAGTAGTGTTCTTCATTGGCCAGTAAGCTACCGAGAAACTTAATTTAAGCTTATTTGAGCCTGTAAAATGCAAGTACAACTACCAAGTGATTGATGGAAGTCTTCGAAGGGTTTAGAAGTTTTTCTTGTGCTTTTTGTTAGAACTTTTTTGAGGGGATATTAAAATAAAGTTAAACTTGACCGGCTCATTTGCTTTGCGAAATTCTGTGAATTTATTTTTGCCTGTATTGTGTCCCAACTCTCCCAATCTGGGAAAGAAAATTGAGGAAACAACACTCAAACATGCTCTCCATTTATTTCAAGAAGAAGCATAATAAGAATAGAATAAATTGAGACAGCAGTTTTTGTGAAAGAAGTGCTGTTTTGATTGTCGAAGAAACGGGTAAAGCAAAATGTGCAGGTTTGGGATCAAAACTATGTTAATTAAATTATGATTGCGTGATCAGCCTGTGCAACTACAAAAAGTTGATGTAAACAATTAAGTGCACAAAAATAATGAAAACGACTTAGAACATATTTTAACTTTCATACTTGTAACTAGCTAATGGCTGTTGGATTGTTGCTTCAAATTAATTTTTGTTCTGCCTCCTAAAACTAACATTTCAATCAACTGTTCTGTCGTTTTCAACATATTTTAGCCTGTTTTTGTTTTCTATTCCAAACCCCATAATATCCAATCAATTTGAAACTTTAATGGCCCAGAACTTTTAAGATTCCACCCCCCCAAAAAAAAACCAACAAGGAGACTGTTTAAGGCAGTTTTGCAGTGTCAAGCTGAGTTCCCTTTCAGGTCCGGTATAACAGAATACTTTGAGCTCCATGGGAGAGTCTATTTATTTCAAATTTGTTTGAGAGATATTCTCTTCTTAATCAACTGAAATCCTTCTTCAAATAGTAAATGAAAGGCTCCAAATGTTAAGTAGGGATTTGAATATTTCTTTGACTTCTTTGTCGCGGCTTGAAGTTAATAAGTTTGAAGTTTGTTGCATTTAATAGAAGGAAATGAACGGAAGCTTGGCTTTTAGCCCTGGCTAAATCTGTACGTTAAGTTTAATTTTGCCTATAAAAAGAAGTTAATTTGTGGAGAAAAAAGGGAAGGTAAATATTTTCGAAAATTGTACATGCCAGCAAGTTAACAAGGCAAAGAACACTGCAGATAAATATCACTCACCTCGATTGTGGCCGCTGTTGGCAACATTTGCGAGAAGCAAAAAAAAGCGTTTTCGTTCACGGTGAGTTGACGGAAGCAGATAAAGCGCTATATTTTTTTTTGAAGGATATAGTAATTTAAACGTTCGACATTTCCTTTTAAACTGTTGATGCTAAAGCTTACAAGACGATTAAGACTATGATTAGGTATGTTTGAAGACAGTGTAAAGATCTAACTTTTAAGCACTTTTTATAGCTACATGTTCACGTATGAATTCACCAGTCAATTAAGCTGATTGTTTTTGTAATGGTTTACTTTCCAATTCTGCTGAAATCATTTTGTGTGTGTAAACTAAAACAATTATTAACCTCAGGCTCAGTTGATATTGTTAACAATATTAAATATTGTTTATTACTATTGGTTGTGAAGGAGGGATTTGGGATTGGCTAAATATTTTTGTTGCCCCGAAAGAGAGGGGGTTTAATTGAGAGGGGGAGGGGGCTTAATCAAGGATTTACAGTATTTTAAAAAAGAGGTAAATCAAAGAACCACTCTTTTAAGAGGGTTATTCTTGCTCCAGTTTAATTCCCAAACTGTAAATGATGTTATTGTGGTTGAATAGTAATTAATGCTGTTCAGTATTTTTTTTCTGTCAGGAACCAGAGATAGTTCCTGATGATGACAGTAATAATCATAAAAATGCAAACATTATTGCACGTATAAATGCTTGAGTAATGTTGTAGTTTACTCTATCCTTTTTTGAGCTGAAAAGCTGTAACCTCAGCTACTGCTATTGCTCATCATCTGCTGCATAATAGCATTATTTGCTGTTGCTGATATGGCTGCTGGCTTTCTGCTTGAATTTGAATTTTTTCTGTAGAAGCTCGATTTGGTCTTTCTTTTCTCTTTGCTGGAACTCTCTTTTCTTTTTTCTTAAAGTCAGAGCTCCTTAAACTTCAAATCTCGGTGAACTGTTTTTTTTTCCGTTTTTTGCCAGGGTGTTCCCTCTAGATCTTCGTTTATTTTCTTTCCTTTATCCTGTCCACGGGCTCACCAGACTCTAATCTTGTTGAGGTCTGGCCTGTTGTTTCCATTGCTCTTTTCCTTACTTCGAGAGCCATTTTCTTTTCTGCACTTAATTGTTTTTTAGCCCTTTTAGCTTCTGTATCAACTTTCTTGTCAGATTCTTCACTAGGATGAGTTAACTGTTCCTGTGGTAAATCATATTAATTTGTTTTGTCTTTACTCCCTCCACCTGTGCTTTTCAATTCTTCCGCAGTTTTGGCCTTACACCTTTTTGAAATAAGGTAAATCTGTTTCCACAACCTCTCGAGCTGACATAATTGAAAAGATCTTTGTTGCCATTAACATTACTGGCAAAAGTTTGCCAATGATGGGAGGTTGCATATATGAGTGAAGGACTGAAATGATGCGAGTAAAGGTGGAAAATCTTCAACTTCTTTTTGCACATTCCACACGGCGACTAAAGAAACGTTTTGACATGTCCAAGATGTTTCCTAACAGTAGCAACAACAGTTCAGGATAAGTGTTGAGCACGTTCCCTAGCGAAGGATCTACAAAACTCAGCATCTCCCAATAAAAGTATTATGCAACTTTACAGTGAAGGCCGATGGTTATGGAAGTGTAAACAGACACTGGTAAGACTCATGGTTGTTTTTGCCTTTTGTTATGACAGTTGGTAAACCATTGACCTTTAATACCACATGCAAGTCCAGTAAGGGGAAACATGTACAGTAGATAGACATTTCCTTTTTATGCACAGTGTTAGGGCATAAATGCCCCTACTGACTGTTACGTGAAATTCTGTAGTGATCTGTCGCCAAATACAAAGTAACAAGAATCATATGTTAGTTCCAAACTATAATTTATCGGTGATTATTATGTAACATCTAACAAGATAATTTTGTAAATGTTCATTGCATTGTATTTCTCTGAAAACATACAGCTACATATTTAGTTTTGTGGTCTTTGTTCTTGTGTTTCTATAATCAGTTGTTTACATGGAATGCTGTTTGTATCAAAATTACTTCTATTACCATACATAAAACTTTACATTAAGTATATAAAACATTTTGGTCTTTGAATAAAACATCTTAATTTTGGCATAAATGTTATAACGCACATCAAAACTTGTTGCAAAATATATAACTTTTTACAAAATATATAAAACTTGTTATGTAAGATACAAAACAAGCCTCCCCGCAGACGTCCTTTGGGGTTCGTTCGTCACGCATTCATTTCTCCCCCACGGACATCTGCTAAACACAGCTGATATTTACGTTCTTGTTTGTTTGAATAAGCCAATAAGCGGTTAGTTATTCTGTCACAATCAGCCAATAACGAGCTGTGATACAACTGAAAGGGCACCTACTCTGTATATATTTGAAGTATTAAGAAACAAGAACTTGCAAACGTGTATAGGGAAGATTTTCAAAGCATTTTTCGAAAACAAAGGCCGTTTCCTTTTTTGCGAAAGGTAATTCCACCAAGGTCATGGGTCGCGGACCAAGGACCACTACGTGAAATTTGGTTATATCTTTTCAAGAGTAGGTAAAACAAAAAAACAGAGTCTACAGCAATGTGCTTCCAACGGTAGAAAAGGGTTTATCTAAAAACTTGTTCTACAAAAAGGCACGTCTTCCCATTGCATGTTATTTATTCACAAGCTAAGTAAACATGACCACGGTGCTGCCGAAGTCCCAAACTTCAAGCTAGAATGACAAATTAACCTACCTGTCAACAAACATTAATTTTGCTCCTTCAAAGGAAGAAGGAATGCTTATAATCTATAAATCATTGGACCTTTCATTTTTCACTGTATTTTATTTCTCGACGAAATATTTAATCATGCTCGGAAAAGTTGAGGACCAAGGACCACATGCTAATTGTACAAGTGACTCGCTGACATTTCCTCCACCGATCGATCTCCAACCAAGCTTCTGGGCTTCCATAAACAACAGAGAAAGCCCCTCTCTCAACAACCCTCATATTCTCTTCGCTAATATCACTGAACGTTACAGCAGGAATACCAATATTTGCCAGCTTCGTAGCTTGATCTTCCATAAGATTTACCAGGGGTGAAACAATAACAATATGTCCAGTAGTTCCACGCACTGTATCGCAAACAAGGGGTAAAGCTTGATAGATGAAGGATTTGCCAAATCGGCAAATTATGAACTTATTGGTCTTCTCTATAAAATTTGCAGGAGAGCTTCTCTCTTGTTTAACTCGTGCACCCGATCAAAAGCCTCACCAAATTAATCAGTACACTTGTGAAGTGTTTGATCTCGCAACTGTGGTGGTCTCCACTGTGGCTGAAGCATCTGCAGATGTGGGACTTCCATTAACCGTCGGGGGGAGGGGGGTAGGGGGGTAGGGGCGTGCTAATGGCATCGTTTTCCCAACTACAACAGCCTTCAGGGCCTCTGTCACTGCCAATGTGACAACTCTTGTTAAGTCTGAAATGTTCACTGATTCAGTTGTTTTTTGTGCCACTGAAATCTTGGTCAAGACATTCAAGGATGGGGCCACTGTCTTGGTGATCTTGGCAGCTGACCTGCCCCCCTGTCTAGCTGATTTCCTCTTAGGAGGCATGACTTAAACCACAGAACATTACTGACTAGTAACGCATGAAAAACACACACTTTGATATTGAAATGGTGAAATTATAGGCCCCCCTGGCCTATGGCCTTAATGACAGAACACGGGATACTTCGAAACAGTTTCAAGTGGATTAAATCATTTAGATGTACTTCATTGGGTAAGTAAAGATTTTTCGTAGGAGTTCCAGAAACCCTTGTGTTTTCAGTAGAAGCAGTAAGGTATGGGTTCGAAAACTGCTTTAAAATACAAATGAAGGTTGGTGACAGTTAAATTATATGCAGTACACTGAGGGGAGTGCAGCCGAATAACTTTGTGAGGGTTTTCATTTGAGGCTGTAGACTGGACATTTCGGCCAGTCGTTTGACATTCAATGTCCGGTACTTTGATGCAAATATTTGAGGGATTTTTTCATTTTTTCATCATATTTTGTTTACTTACTGACTAGAGGATTACAGAATGAGCAGTTAAATTCCATTTTCTTTCTTTGCTGTCGTCGCTGTTGGATTGGTTTTCCTTTTCATTAAAACGAAATTGGAACAAGCCTTTCCTTATGATTCCTGCTCGTTCTAAAGGGAAATCACTAGGAAAAACACTCTACACGAGTTGGTCGAACACTGCTCATCTGTTGGAGAAATGAAGAAAATAAACAAATTGTTTTCCCCGAAGACTTAGAGAAAACAAGGTAAGGTTAACTTTATTGGCATGATGAGTCTGAATGAGTGTTTCATTCTATTGACGGTGAGCAGTTTCTCCTTACTGAAAAAAAATAAAAACAAAACAAGACAATGTCTCCCAGCAGGCCTTTACTAATGCTGTCACTATTTACAAGGTTAAGATAATATTTCCCTTATCAACGATCAAAATACGACTTTTAAACCTTTTGGAGTTTGAAATAGAAAGAAATGACAGACAGCATTTCATGACAAAAGAAAATTACTCATGAGATCTTGAAAGCAATCAACTGATCTTTTGAATGTGGAGTTCTTTAACCCATTGAGAGACAAGCAAAATGTGCCTCACAGAGATATTGTGGATTTTTCAAGGCTTAGAAAAATGCTGCGGTACTATAAATGTTAAATTTAAATGCTGATTTGCTTTATAATAATTGTTTAACCCATCATTTCTCAGAATTTAAGTGAACTCCAGCCTTACCTGAAAAACTGATTCTTGGGTTCCATTTCTCAGTATCCTATTTTTGGAAACTTCTGGGGGAGCAGACTCCCCTAGGTATCTCACCCCTTTGTCACTCACAAGACGCTTTCAGGTGGCAAAAAAGTTAAGCGTCCAGTACTTTCAAAAATGTCTGCTACACAAATAGACAAAATGTTGAATATTGCCTGATAAACTGGGAACAAACTGAGAAGCGATAGACTTTCACTCTAGTCGAGATGTGCTCACTCAGCTTGTTTGCAGAAAAGGGGAAGAATTTAGGTGTCGCAGCCTTTACATAGCTGATTAATCTACATGTCGTAGATAAAAGCCTGTGTAATAGACCACAGAGGCCATTTGGAAAGTTGCTTATCGCAGAACCACTCCCAAGATGTCTTAGCATGAAAACTTAATGAGAACTCTGTAACTGTCCAGTATTTTACAAATTTTAATTAATTCATCTGTACAAAAGAGAAAACATTAATATGCCGTGAAATTCCCATTTCTAATAGAATGGAAGTTTAAAATATGTGAATTAAATGGAAATAAAAGCACAGCTTTCAATACTTTTTAACAACTTTAGTAAGTACTTCTTAGAGTGAAATAATGCGTTTACCAAAGCTTTAAGTTTATGTACAAATATGATTTGTATGAAAATATAACAGACATTTTTAAGGTAAATTCAGACCAAACGTTAATAAAATTATTGTGGATCTGCAGACATGTCAAATGTTCTAATCTGGACCACTAGGTGCATAAAGTGTTGTTTTAAAGAAGGTCCTTTTTCATTTATGTGGCAATGATTAACAAGTGAGTTGCTGACTAGTGACTGACTTGTGCAGATATTTACCACCCAACTTTGCTAAAGGTTTTTAGCAATAAGCTAAACTTCACAAAACATCAAGGCATTTTAATTACCATGGAACATACCTGAATTGATCTGCACTCACCTGTGTAGAAATAAGATAATTAGCTTGCACATTGCTATAGACATCAATCAGACATATTCCTGCTGAAATAGGCATGATATAGTACCAGTGCATACACAAATAGAAATAACAATATGTAACAGTAATGCGTATGCCTTTCATGTAGGCAGCATGCAGGGACAAAAATCTGCAAGGAATTCCCTACCATGGTGGTTGTCTCTAGGCTGATCCTGAGACAAAAGGCAGTCCATCATGGGATTTGCTAGTAACTCCTTGCAAACCCTTCTTAGCCTTTTACAAAGAAAGCATGGACCCTAAAACTAATATGGTACAGATCTTTCACAGAAAAGACACTAAAAAAGTGAAAAACGTTTGTTGGTTTGTTGGTTTATTAAAATAATACTTTCTTGCCATACATGGAGGTGGGGGCCCCAGTTAGGTGGGGTAAACCGCCTGTCGATCTCTCATTTTTTTAAAAAAAGAAGACTTTTTTTGCATTATAGAAATGTTTAACAATACCTTACGAGCTGATACGACGAAGACCATAACAGTAATACAAAACCGCATTGTCTAGATACCCGGCAGCCGGGAACTGTTTTCAAAATACTAGATATCCGGCAGTCAGACATTTTGACCAATTTTCTTGAAATAGCTCGTTTAATTCCTCTTACAACACAACATATTTGTATAGAAATCTCAAGTGATTGTAAATATTGTCTTGGGTGAAAAGTAGAAGCGACTGTCAAGCTTGGGCATAGAGTGAAATCTCGATGTTGCAGAAACTTAGAAAATATTCAAGTTCTGACACACTGAGTCAACTCCCGATGAATATCCACAGAAATTATCAACGAAACCTCACCAGAGTATTTAGTGTTTGTTTAAAAATGCCAAGCGATTCTAAGTAAGGGTTTCGTATTGTTGTGGACAAATTCTCCGAGGTTGCATTAAGCACATTTTTTAGAATCATGACTCATGGGTACGGTTTTTACTGTACTTTCACGAAGATCTTTCTCTGCATCTGCTGAGTCTACTCGATTTCTATGAAAAAAATTGTAAAGAGTCTATAGTCTTACCAGATATCCTCTAGAAATGTTCTTCTGAGTTACAAACAATGTTAAATTTGTCAACTCAGCAGGAGAGTGCCCTTCAACTTCCGGTGTAGCACTACAGTTGCGTGACGCAAATACAACAATATATTTTTTAAGTGTCGAAAACTATAAAGATTTCACTCCATGCCCAGGCTCGACAGTTGCCTCTACTTCAAGCCCAAAGCAGTGTTTGAAATCGCTTGAGTTTTCTAAACAACTTCCTGATGTTATTACTCAAATTAAATGAGATATTTCGTGCAAACTGGATTTGAATTTCTGACTGCCGGACATTTATTTATCGTGTGTGAAGTACACGCCATTAAAAATTAGGAAGTAAGTTTCATTCAATAAATGTCAACAATTTAATAAACCCGAGTTCTTACCTCTGTGATCACAAATCACTTGAACGTTGATCGAATGGAACCCTTTCCTGTTCACAAAATTGCTCTCGTGGGCACTTTGCCCTTGAATACATACATGCGTCCCATCGATGCAGCCAATGACTCCGGGAAAGCCCCCCTTTACAAAAAAGCCTTGCTTTATCTCTTGCCTTTCTGCGGCTGTTGATGGCCATCGTATGAACTGGTGCTGTTTTCGACCGAGGGCTGTTGAAACTCTGCTGACGATTCTGGAAACTGTGCATTTTGGAATGCCACCCACTGTACATGTATCACCTACCACCCCCAAAAAACTACCGCTTACGACAAAACGAAGGGCAACAAGAAACTGTTCCTGGGGTTTCAAAGCATGGTTTCTTTCGGTTCGCCTTTCAAGATCAGGAGCGAGCGTGTCGGTAATATACTGAATTGAGTCATGCGCAAATCTGTAGCATGACTTGACCTCAGCTTCAGAGAGTCCGTCGAGCAAGTTGTCATTGAGGTTAAAATTTCTGTTACGCCTAGTATATATAGGACGAACACCGCGAAAAAGCGAATCAACCACCATGTTGTTTTGCTGATTTTGCAACACACGTCATTTTAACCGATGGTTAACAAGTTAACACTCGTAGCGAGGTACGTTAAATTTAACACATAGTTAGAAGAAATTTAACCCGCGGTTAACACTAACCGGGGTTTGAGCAACCGAATCTAACCTACGCTTAATTTTTAACCATCGGTTAGGGTGGTTAACCATCGGTTAAGAGTCAACCATCTTTCGAGCAACCGGGGCCTGGTGAATATATAATGTAAGAGCAATCTTCAAAACATGATAGAATGGCGTTCTATCGCCCTTGCTAATCAGCACCCCAAAAGCTCTAAAACGAACAAACAACAGTAAGATGAAGTAGCAAAAATAAACAACCCACAGAGGTTAAGAGGAACTGTCGCCCCTACAAGTCAGCTCCCCAACACACACAGATACTAAATAACAGAAAAGATGACTGCCGCCCTTGCAAGTAAGACTCAGAAGTTTGCAAAGTTCTATGCAATGGTTCCCCATAAACCACGTATGAACACAATTATGTGTTAGCAAGAGAAGGCAATTTTATATGCTTGAGAAATCATTAGTTTTCCGCTTCCTCAAAGCCTTAACCTGGGCATCAGACATTCCCCTATCTGCAGCGAAAGAGGCAGCCACAATATGAAAACTGTGACTCTTGTAACGCATGGGGCTAAGGCCACAGGATTTACACGGGAGACAAAGTATATCAGCAAAAAAGGTCCTGGACACTGGGCTATTATCTGGATTGGCAAATAGGGGACCTGGTAAGCTACCACAAAGAATGAAATAGTCTAACAAAAGTTGAACATGACAAAAAGGGGACTGGCGATGCATAACAATAGAAAACGGGTGCTGATTACTATTGTTATTGTGCTTGAAAATCAGCAAAATTAAGTTTGAATGCGACAGTATTCCCGGAACCATCAGGTAGTTTAACAAGTTGATTGATTTGAACAGGGGAGGGGGGGGGGGGGGAAAAACCAATGCTGGGGGGGGGGGTTTTCCCCCCTCCGGGGGAAAGGGAAAAAAAGGGGGAAAAACCTTTGGCTTAAAATGGGGGGGGGGGAAAGGAGGAGCAGCACAAACGGAAAACTAAAAGGGGTAGTTGGTGGGTTTTGTAAAAGTTGGGCCTATTTAGCTGGGGCAAAACCAGACTTGGGGAAAGTTTTGTAAAAAAAAAGAGTGGTGAAGAGTAAAAAAAAAAAAAAGTTGGGGTGTTTATTTTTTTTTTTTTTGTAAAAAAAAAAAAAAAATATTATTTGGGAGAGTGGTATCGGGACGGAAGAGAGGTGTTGTTTGAAAATTGGTTTGTGTGGGGGGGGGGGGGGGGGGGGGGGGTAGAACCCATGCTAGAGGTGGAGGTTATCTCACCTACCTGGAGAAAGGTATAAAAGGCGGTAGAACACTTGGCTTTAAATTGAGAGACGTGATATGTAGAGACAGCCAGACTGAATACTGAAACGAGTAATTTGTGTGATTTGTGTAAGATTGGACTATCTAGCTAGGTGCAAACCCAGCTTGTGGTAAGCTTTGAGCATTTGGATATTAAAAAAGGCTTAAATTGGGTCAGCAACACCAATTAATTGTTGTGTGTAGCCTAATGCTGAACAGTAGGAACTAACAGCAGAGGACGCATACTCCTTATAAGCAATGAAAAGAGCTATAGTCTTAGGGGATACAGGTAAAACGGTTGTTACTGACTGAAAAATTGCGTTCAAAAAATGTCAAAACAATTTCGAAGCTCTCCTGTAAGTAGGAATTGAGGAGGGCTAAAGGCTGGGCAAGGCAAGTAGAGTTATTATGGAACCAAACTCTTGAGGCTGCAGATAATGGGGAACCTCTGTTGGAAGGAGATCCAAATTGGCCAATTGTGTGAAAGTGTGCACCTGCAAGCGAGAGAGGGCATCAGCAAGCTTGTTACAAACACCTGGAATATGCTTCGCTTAAAAACAATGTTCTGTAAACTAGTGGACACAAACTTGGAAACAAAAGCCATTAACAACTTATCCTTGCACGACTACTTATTATTAATGCGCACAAGGGATTCATTATCAGTAAAAACACACTGATTACTTGTAGCTGCGCCCCACTTCAATGAAAAATGACTTGCCTTTTAAAATTGCATAAAAGGACAACCTTAACCTAAAGTCTCCTTTGACTTCCCTATTCAGCTGAATTTTGTGCTGGGGGGAGTGGATACTTAATGTTAATTCAATGCCTGACCAGGTCATATAACTGAGCAAGCAAAATTCAGCCAACCTTTAAGCGACTGGACCTCTTTAAGGGTGACTTTTTTACAGCATACAAATTCAGAAATAAGGGATTTGTATAAATGTCTAGCTCATTGAAAGGTGAACGAGATTCAAGAAGTACGGAATCTAGTTCAATTCAAGCAAAAGAAAGAGTGGTGGCAGCGCCATAAGTCTTCTCTGGTGCCATAAAAATGTTAAGAATTTTACACTTTGTTACTCACAGGAGACCCACCCGGTGAATTTAGCATAATCGCGGCCCCACCCCCCACCCCTCCCTGGTCCGAGTTGTTAAGTCAGGCGCCAAAAGGTACTGTTCGCCCTTAGACGTTGTTTTTCTTTTTGGGGGAGTGCGTAACTTTAGTGAACTGGACTAGTGACGCAAGTATTCTAACACTTATACAATACGGTACACTTTACTGAACATGTTGGCTCCACATTTATATGACAATGTACTTCA